AATAAAAAAAACAAGAAAATATATGGAAAGAGACATCCGCTGATCGCTGGTTACAATCTTACATTTCTTTAGGTATTTTTGATAAATGCTTGCACTGTGTGCTGGCATGAGGCCTTTTAAAGGCAACAAGAAAAAAGAATGTAGAATACTTGATAGTAAAGAATCAGTCGTAAATTGTGGCGGAGTGGGTTAATATGCCTTCTCTCTCTCTTTCGCTCTCACCCCCTGCCTAGTTGCAACTGGTGAGGGAGGGTAGGGGGAGAAAGCTGAAAGCTGTACTGAACATATTTATAGGCATATGCAAAGCACGCACAAAGTGATATGGCATTATGAGTGTCTGGCAACTGAGCGCCCTTTCCTGCTTGTTATAGGACAGGAGGGGGGGGGGGCGCAGGAGCCTTAAAAACGGCGGATGGTATTTCAAATACTGTATACATAATTTTATGGCCCATATGGATATTGTATGCCACATTTTCAAAAATGGCCTAAATGGTCAATTTTTTGACAGTATATCCTTAATCTATCACAGCTGTGGATTTGGTATCAAAGAAGGAATAAAAAAAAAACATGATTGATCAGAGCCAGTATTCAGCTTTATATGACAACAGGAGATGAGCTAATACACCATTTCTGCTATTTATCACTTTTGCATGCCTGCGAGGTGAGGTGTATACCATTCCGGTCTCAGGCAGAAGATCCAGGTAAGAGTTCCGTATGTTAGCTCTATAAAGTTGATCTATAAATCCCACATCTGCATCTTCTCAGGAAATAAATGGCCCAAATTTTACAATTTAATGACATTTTTTCCATCACAATGCCCTATTGTGCAATGTGTTTCAGTTGCTCAATGCAATTAGATCTTACTTTACCATGCAATAGATCAAATGCTAAAGGAATACTGGCATTGCTGATTTCCTTTCTTGAAGTTTGTAAATATTCCGAGCATTTGTATATCTGCCCTTTTGGTGCACAGGTGATCACCAATGTTAGTATATGATCCATGATAGAAAGATATATTGGCAGACATTTAGTCCATTGCTTGTACTACCATTCTAAAAGTTCCACAGGACAATGAAGTCTTATAAGGAGAACTGTAAAGCATCATGAATAAACTTTTACATAAAAAATATTAATCAAGCAATACAATGACATTTCTAAACAAATAATATACCTCAAATGCAAGTCAAAGTTACTTGAAAACACATACACTGACTTGTAAGTTTCATGTCACTAGTTGAAAACATGACAAGAGTTAAGTTATCCTGTTAGAGAAACATAGCCTTTGTACCTATGAATGAAAATAAGGATAATCACACAATATAAATTCATCCCTGAATCACCTCTACAACCTTTACTTTCTATCTAATCCCCTGAACCCCTTGATCTATTCAACAGAATGAGACTATCAACAGCACACTATGATCACAGGAAAGTTTTTCTTAACAGCATAAAAGTTTTTTTTAACAGCATACTATGATCACAGAGAAGCAGTTTTTCTTTTAAGTCCAAAAGTTTATCTCAAAGATTATAATATTCCAATGTCCTGTTCCCTCTGATCCTTCTCCCGATTCCTACCGTCTGGCTGCTGCATGCCCGGAGTCAGCGCTCGCAGGAAATCATCGGGAGTCATGTATATCTCTGTCCTTTCACTGCTGCGACTCCTTTGAATCAACTTGCAAGTAGCAAAGTAGCGGAAAATTTTATCCGGGGTCGAGTACGCCCGAATTCTGTTCTCGTACTCTATGATCTACGACAAGAAAAAGAGAACAGGTCTAGAGCATCTACCTAGGTTTATTTTCTCACACTCCCTAGGACGGCTGTAATTCATGCTACGATGAACAGCATGCAGAATAAATAATAATAATAATGACAATAATATTTCTAATAACAGTGAAAATCTAAAGTAAATAAAAGATAGATAACCTATCATGACAAAAACAGTCTGCTGGAATCAAGTACAGAATACATAACCTTCTAAAGAGAAAATAAAAAAATGCAAGCATAAAACAAAGGTTCACAGTCTCTGCAATGCAACAGCAAATGACACTGTGTAAAAAGTAAACTGGATATGTAACAACTTGATAACCTCATCACAAGGAATAAAATGAATGGGCCAAAATACAAGCACTTTGTCCGCCATGCCAATGACTGCATCACAGAAAATACTCGTCATATAAATCAGTAAACAGGACCCAGCAGAGAGGGTAACTTAAAAAAAATACATTTTTCAAAATTAACCTTTTCACTTACTCAGTTCAAACACCTCAATAAAATAAGGGAATAATTTCATCTCCAAATTGAAGAAGTCCCCAGAAAAAAATACAGAGCATAAAAAATTAGCAAAAAAACAACAGAAAAAGAAAAATACAAAATAGGGTGGAGGGAAGTGCAGTTGTTAAACAGCGACTGATAATTGGGTCTACAGTGAAGCAAAAAGCAAAAAAGAAAATATTTACTATACAATAATGGATTTTGTCAACTTCACCCCTATTCTTAGTATACTTGACCTATTACTTGAACTACGCAACTGCAGCGAATCCAGATTTTGTTAAACCAGACTGAGGACTAATGCAACCCACCAACATTATTGTAAAAGAAGACGAACTATATTCTGATTTATAGCTAGATGTCCTTTACGCCTTGACTCACAACAGTTCCTCTAGCAAATAAACAGATTATGTAAATCTACATTTTCTATTCTGAATACAATATTTCACTTAATCAAAGAGCGTTTTTTCTTTCAAATGATTTAGTTGTCTCTCTATAGTAGTTCAGTACAATATCCACACCAAACATTAATACCATCAAAGCAAAATTCCTAAGCAAAGATATAATGGCAATGCCCAGACAAAGAACACGGTCCACCAAGAGGAGAGAAGATTATATACCCTAACAGAAAAATAATCAGAATACAGACGAGTGAGAAATCTAGCCCAATAAAAGGAGAGGAACCTTGAAAAGGAAAATCAGTTAGAACTTTCCAAATACTGACTTAGAATTTGCAACTGCGAGCTTCTTACTTCTGAAAGCGCAGTGTACAGCAAGCTACAATTTACTAAAGTATCTAGGCAGACATTTGGGACCAAAGTGAGCCTACTTCGAAAAAAAGGGAAAATGCCAAAAATCTGACTAAGTCCATTGATATCAAGTGCATAAAATAATTACATGCAACTCAAGATGTCTCAATTAGCAATATGAGATGTAATATCCTGTCAAATATATGTAACCTTCTCCTTATCTTGAACCCTTATCAATGCTGTAAGATATAGTTTTCTCTTGAAACTTCTTTGTAACCATATTATACGCTAGAACATTCTTTATGATGCATATCACAGCTAATTCTTATTTACTGTTATTTACTAAGAGTAAACTTCTACTGAAACAAGCTACAATTTAGCATTTGTATTAAATTTATTTTAAAATCATTGAAATCGGAAAGAACTTCTGATTAAAATTCTCCTACACTGGAATAGAGTTCCATTTAGTATTAAAACACAATGTAAATGAAAAACAACAATGCCCAAACAGGAATATGTTTTATCCTCTTTCCTTTCATCAGAAAAAAAATTCTCTACTAAATGAAACAAAGCAGGTATAGATATTGCCCCCATACAATATACCATCCACATTTGCTATTCACATAGAAGTTAACTAATTATCTTAAGTATAAATGACGTCTGGTTTATTTGTGTTAGTTCAGGTTAGGTCTAAATTAGCTTGTTAGGTCAGGTCAAGTCAGGTCAGTTTGAAGAGGAGGTTGGTTCAATAATGACTTACCAGCTAGTTCAGAATTAAATGCTCAAAAGTACAATAGCAAACTAGAAATGGAGTATGGGTTCATATCAATACCTACAAGTTTATTACAAAAACAAAAAATTAAGTTTCAATTTTGAATCATATGCTATTTTTAATTGAACGACTTTATGAGACAAACTATAAAAATTGTTTCTGTAATAAAGCTTATATTTCAATTACAAGATTATCTTTCAAAACTCCATCAAAACTGTGTACTTTATTCCGCAATATACTTGCGTGGGTGACATTGCAAGACCTGAAAGAGTCGCCTCACTTGCAAAGGAGTCCACTCAGCACCAAAGCAGTGAATAAAGCACCTTGCTCAAGCAAACTGTTTTAATATTACAAAGATAAAACTGCATGAAAGAACATTCCCTTTGGTTAGAAAGTTTCTCAGTGGATAGCATCATCTGAAAGCCAACTTTCAGTTTCATTTCCCAAGTCATCTTACAGATTATTAGCATTGCACATTGATATTGCATTTATGAGACTTACTGCACCATTGCAGATTAGTGGCATATCCCTTTTTTCTTTCCAAAGCCCAATTTGCTCTCCCAGTGGATCCCAGCTTTCATGCACTGACAATTCAGTTACACAAAATGTCCTCTTGAAATAATTCTTACAAGTCAAGGAACCAAGATCCACTGTTGGTCTAAGAAAGAGATGCCCTACTACATTACTATTTACAATACAGGTCAACAATCTTGCTGATGTACGGTGCACATTCTCTTACAGAGCACATCTACATTCTCAGGAAGCATAAGTTCATATATGGGCAATAATATTCCTTTGCAGTGAACCAATAGAATCTCTTATTATTATCTTCCTGCTCATCTGATTCCAATAGTGTTGCTTAACATCTCTAAAAGTAATGCAAACTGTCTTTATACATAAGACTGCTTCAACCACATAAACACTTGTGGGATCAAAGCAACCACAAATAAAAAGTGAAAATGAAAAAGAGCCACAAAATGAAGATAATTACAAGTCAAGACAATTCACATCCTTCTGGATACCTCTTCAGCCGAAAGAGAAAACAATTCCACTTTGTTTGTTGCTTTGCCTGAAAAGGAATTCAGATGGATTTCAAACATTACAACTTGCTATTATCTTCTTATTGTGGTTTCGTGTTTCAGATTTTCTATGTACATATCACTGTTTGTATCTATGTTTGTTACATATCGTAAAGCAAGAAACCAAAATTG